CTGAACTGGACAGGAGAACCCCAATTTTCTGTCTGCTAGCAGAGTCATGGGGGAAGTGGCAAAGTGTATTTGTTGTCAGTGAGCAGTGTTGAAGCAGCCAGGATGGGTTTCATCCTCAGCTGGCACATCCACCTGTGCTGTAGTCTGGTTCTCTGGAATAAGAATGTATTTTGATGGGGTATTGGCTTTCAATTGACAGAGAGAGAAGGGTTACAATATTTGTGTAATAGATGCATTTCCTTTCTTCTCTGCTACTGCACAGAGCCTTATTCTAGAACCCTGTCCCAGACTGTCTCTTAATCTCTGTACAGTTTGGAAATGCTTCAGCACTTGCCTGCAAAACCAATAAAAGAACAGGTTGTAGATCTTTGTGGCATTTTCTTAAACGCTGGCAAGTTGTGAAGGAGAAATCATAAGCAATGTTTTCTGAACAGTCATATCTATTACTTCTGCACTAAGGAATCAAGTAGGATTTTCTTGCCTTGCTTTGACCTCTGGTGGCCAACCATTAACAGCTCTGGAGAAGCATTCAGAGTTTAGCTGTTCTACCAGGAAATCAGCATAGAGTTTATTCTGCTATCTTAATCTGCACTTGTGATGGGGGTGTGTGGATTTGGCTTGATATTTAAATACATGCTGTATTGTTCCCAGCAGATAGGAGGAGCCAAACACAGCAATATTTTTCTGCATATAGCCAAGACTATAAAAATACTGAGCAAAATAAAACCCCAACAGGCTCATTTGAAATTAATACCTCTGTTACCCAGATTTTGCACTAGTGTAATCATGAAACTTTTAGAGGAAAAACTACATTGTCTTAAATAGATGTGCCTTTACTAAAATTGTACAGTCAGCTAAGCTACCCCAGAGATAACATCACATTTCCTCCTCTAAGAGTGGAGGGTGGGGTTTTTTTTGTCTGTGCTGAGTCTATTTCCTTTTACTTATTGAACACAACCAATGAAAAAAAAACCTTAACCCAGTACTAAGACCTAGAGCTAGATTTGCAAAAGTTTCAAACTTCATAATGAGAGATTTCCCCCTCCCTAAGCAATTAAAAACCAACTTGATCCATCTTACCTTTTTGCTCATCACATTCCAGTTCCTGTTACTGTAGCTTTCTTTTTATCAAATAAACAAAAGATACTGGGTTATACACAGCTATATAAAGGACCAAATATTACACAGCCTTATGGTCTCCTGCAGCCAGTAGCTGACTGCTCTGAAGGTGGTGCAGGCCCTTTGAAATGGAAAGCAATCTATGCTAGAGATTAACCAAATACCTATCTTGTAACTCGCCCCTGAAGCTAGTTTGATGAGTTCCAACAAGTTCTCTTGAAGTGTCCCCCTGCCCTCCTTATTTTTTCACTCTGTTTAACAGGAGTTGGTTTTGGGGTGATGTTTTTCTCCTTTTGAAGTTGTGGTTTGATTTGTAGGAGGCAGTGATGTGTACTTAGATGTTTTATATGAACAGACAAACTACTGTTGGAGCTTAGGCATGTGAGAGGAGGACAAGGGACACTTTATCTTTACCCTTTGATCCTGTGCTTATCAAGTGTCAGGATGACAATTTATTGAAAAAGACAGTGGAAAACTGGTAAACTCTGTTGCTCAGATTAGGAGTGGGGAAAGACAGCAAAGCAGGAAGACTGTGGAACAAATGCAAACATACTCCTTTTGCTGTTGTTTCACTTGTTTCAAAGTAGTTTTCCACTTATGTTTATTTTTTAAATGGAAGAGCCTCATGTTGGTTCATTAGCAGGCACAAAAGCAACAATGGAACAAAACATGCTAAATAGGGTTCCTGCTTTGGGGACTTTACTCTGGCTTCCTCTTTGTGTTGGTGGGACTCTGGCAGGGTTTTTGTTTGCTTGAACTAAGTAACATCCTTGGATTTGGCTAAGGTGAGGGGCTAATTTTAGCAATTGGCAAAGTAGAGCTGATTTTTTTTTCTTGTTTGTTTAAAGTGTGTTTCTTGCACAGAAAATCCCATATCGGCTGTCTGCATCTATACCACCCATCCTTGCACCCATCCATCTAATACCCGTGTCTCACTTCTTTAGCCCCGTGACTAATTTTATTAGCATCCTCTGGAACTACAGAAAAGGGATCATTTAAAATTGTCCTATATTGTCTTTGTATACTCCACTAAATATTTCTCCTTGCTAATTTAAAGGGCAGATGCCAGTATCAGCAGTTGAGCTTTTGGAACCTCTTTTCTTTGACTGAAAATTCCATGGGAATAGGACTCTTCTGTCTTTATTTCAGGTTGGTAACAGCAGTATAGCATGGTCACTGGGTTACATGTTAAGCCTCACGAACATGATTCCAGCAGAAGGCAAGATGATCCAATTACCTCTGAAACCTTCTTTGTTTGCTGGGCTCCTCATCTTCCTCACAGCTATGGCACTGTTGTGTCTCCTCTTCCTTGTTTACTTGTGTATTGTGTCACGTAATCGGAAGAACATCACCCATGTTGAACACATATTTATTCCAGAATAAATGAACTTTACTGGAGACAAGACAAAAATTTTATAGTGCTATTAAGTTTTGTAGGACTTTATTTCGCCTTCCATTTTTCACAAATAAAGACACGGAAAAAAGACTTCAGGACCAGAAGCATAAATGAAGAGACACAAAGAAATCTATGATATGGTGACTTGGAGTCTTCTGAAATGTTTTGGCAGTTGTTTCTGTAAACCTAATTTGTCCAGATATGTCAGTTTGCTTGATAAGGGATTATTAGCCTTTTCCTGCCAGGTATGTATTATTTTTTTGTTCATTATCTCTGTGCTAACTGGTAAGCTCAAGTGGTGATGGATTTGATCACAGCGGCAGTTGTTTAAGATAAAATTAAACAACAAGTCAGTAGGAGTTGTGGAGGTGGGAACATGGTAGCTGTCCTTGTGTGCAGTGCTGACACTAAAAGCCCTGAAGTAATCTAATTTCTGAAACTGGAACAAGCACTGGGTAGTGACAAGAACTGAAGGGAACAGCTGTGATAGAATTGCTTTTATTGCTGTTCCAAACAGATTGATCCCACCACATAAAGGTGTAATAAACTGTCAACACCTCTCAGGACTTTCAAGCCTGTCTTAAACAGAGCTGTATCTTTTGGTACCATGGAGATCCCAGAATGCCTCTGCTATAGTACCTGAGATTTGCTTTGAAGGTGGAACAAAACGGTTCCATGCTTTAGGAACTGAAGCTAAATTTAAATGTCTGAGTTACCTCCAGAAGCCACTGGAGTTTTAAGTGTCCTCTTCTCTCTTTCACAGAAATACTTTTTGTAGGTTCTCATAGTGAAACACTGACCTGTTGGTCCCAGACAGTCACAGTCCATACTGACTTGTTGTGCACATAATATTTCAGCTGACTGGATAGAGTCTCAGGTCTGGAACCTTCCAAATCATTAACATATTAAGCCCTTCAGTCAAGGCCAAGAGGAATAGGAGCCAGTCTGCAGGCCAGCAGAACACCTTTTCTGTAGGGGGTTCAGGAACAAGAAAAACTTTTTTTTTAAGCAGATCAGTAGTCTGTTGGTATACTACTGTCAGTCTTACTGGAGTAGCAGTACTTAAGGCAGAAGTACTTAAATAAGGCAGAAGATGATGGAAGTGCTCTGTGGCACTGAAGTTGCATCTGATAAAGCATAAAATTTACTTCAGAATGTATGGACATTACAGAGGCTGGCACAAGATATAAGCTTTGTCTTTGTGTGATGGATCTGAAACTGCGGTTAAGGGTAAAAAAACCCCATGCAGTTGGATAAGAGCATGAAAATGTTTTCTTCAGTTGCCAAATTTCTGTGGAAAAATGTGTTCTGGAATATTTACTTGCCATACAGAACTTTTGCTTTGTGAATGGCAGGGCCGTTTGGACATGGTTTTACACAAATGGAACATGCTTGGAAGTTAGTCTCTTTAGAGCTGGCAGCTAAGGAACAAGTAAATTTGTTCAAAAAATCATTTGGACTTCCAGACGTACTTGGATAGACCCAGTACCTGTTCAAAGGATGCCTTTCCTCCATGAACCACCTGTTTTGCTTTTTTGGTATTACGTGTACAATCTCCCTCATGTGTTGCCACGATATTCACCTGCTCAGCCTTACCTGTCCTGTCAGTTTCAGCTGGGAAAGCTGAAATTGTTCGAACTTCCAGCCAGGCAGGCTTCAGTGACCACAGCTAACTCCTCCCCTGAGTGTGAGTCAGAACCAGATCAACATTGTCCTGCTGTGCAGAAGTGAACAGATCTCTGGGAGAGACTGAGAAGTTAACAGCATTGGGGAATGTGTACAAATCATGGGTTATTTATCTTTTTATATTATATACTGCCTGCTTATGAAGATTAATAAAATTAAGTTGTGAAAAGTTAAGCTAAATGTACTTTTTTATCATTTCGCCCCCCACTACCAATATTTTCATCGTGGTAGGCAAGTTACTCTTAACAGAGAGGTAGGAAGTCTCCAAAATGCTTTTCTGGGTGATGGAAATTTGCAAGCTGCAAAACTGATTCTGCAAGGTTCTTGAGTGGACAGGGCTCATCATCTCCAGAATCCATGTTCTCAGCAAGGAAATCCTGGTGGTTAAAACTAAGCCACTCTTACGAATTTTATTGTTTTTTAATATACACAACATAGACACAACTTCTACTTTTAAACAGTTACATTTCACTGAGGGATACTGATGATTTCTAAGGCTTTTTTCAGGTTCAACATCATGACATGAAGCAACAATTCCCAGTTATCAGAGACAGCTCACCAATACAGAGATTGGTTAGAAAAAGAACTGTTCGGCACTGGGAATAGGGATGGGATTGTATAATACAAAAAAACCTCGTTTGTGGAGAAGCAGCAAGAAGTGAACCCACCAGAAGCAAGAGATGAGAAATGAAACATGTATGGACCTTTCTAAAAAGTGATACAACTTCTTGTACGGCAATATACAAACTTGGCAGAAACAAGCAGTACCCTGTATGGCATGGCATGATGCAGCACTGATAAGAACAGTTAATAAGAGGACAGAAAAGCAAACAACACTGAGTATGATAGTCAATCATACCCCAGTCTGGAGAGCTTTAATTTTTTAAATTATTTCAGGAACAATTTATGTTCACTGGGATGTCAGTGAATCCTGTGTATCACCAAAAGTGCTCAAGGATACTTCATTTATGAGCATTTTTCTGTGTTAGCAAGAGGAAGGCTATATCTAATAACTTGCTCAGCAACATTTTGTAGGCCTAGTGTGTATTTTTAAAAGTGTATTAATGAGGGAAGATGTTTTTAAGTCCTGAACTGTTTGATGTTAAGGCACAGCTTGAGTGTGGTGTCTTTTACAATGATTGTTCCAGTCCTTTATGATCCTAACAGATGCAGAGTTATATGATGTAGGACAGATGTGACCCTCATGCTCAGTAAGTTACCAGTGACATTTGAATATCTCTGCCAGCAAAAAGTTACTAAAAGTACCAGGAGTTTAGGTAACCTCCCTTCCTTTCTCTTAAGTAATACTGAAGGGTATTGTGGCAATAGGTATCGAGCAATAGAACAAGAGCAGTCCTGCTCTTGCCTCTGGAGCTCAGAGATAAGATGCTCCAAGAACAGAATAAATACATTCTTTTAGCAGTGTCCACCCATGACACCGATGCCATGCCTCCCGTCACACACCGTGCTTGACTTCTGCAGGAGGAGTGCTCCTTGTCCCTTCCCTGCACTGCGCACAACCCCAGGTCAGGTAAATATTCCTTTTGTTTGTTCATCTGCTTGTTTTTAAACCAACTTTTCATCATCAGGAGGCATCACCCACTCGGCTCAGTTATAAATGCTGGTTTTACCCTCCCTGAAAGTTTGTTCTGAACATGTGCTGATCCTGTTTCGCTCCCAAGCCCATTTTACATTTGTTCTGCTGTATCCAGAGTGTTGCCAAGCTGCTCTTTGCAATCTGGAGCTGGTCCCACACTAGGATATGAAAAGCCACACACAATCTCAGTGTACTCTTTACTCATCTCACAGAATATCCTGAGTTGGAAGGGGCCCACAAGGATCATTGAGTCCAACTCCTGTCCCTGCACCATGTCTCAAGAATCACACCATGTGCCTGAGAGCATTGCCCAAACTCCTCTTGAACTCTGGCAGGCTTGGTGCTGTGACAGCTTCCCTGGGGACCCTGTTTCAGTGCCCAATCACCCTCTGGGCAAAGAACCTTTTTCTAGTATCTAACCCACACCTCCCCTGACACAGCTTCATGCTGTTGCCTTGGGTCCTATCACTGGTCACGAGAGAGATCAGTGCCTGCTCCTCTGCTTCCCTCATGAGGAAGTTGTATACATTGATGAGGTCTCCCCTCAGTCTCCTCTTTTCCAAGCTGAACAAACCAAGTGATGTCAGCCACTCCTCATATCGCTTCTGCTCAAAGCCCTTCACCATGTCTGTTGCCCTTCTTTGGACACTAATAGCTTTACAACTTTCTTACATTGTGGTCCCTCAACTGCACACAATATTCAAGGTAAGGCTGCACCAGCAGAGTAGAGTTTACATTATATCATTACAATGTTCTGCCATTCACAGGATCACAGAAGTTTAGGAGTTGGAATGG